CCAGTTTCTTTGCGCTATGGTCAGACAGGGATGATTTCAGCTCCTCTACATTTACTTAAACATGTTTTGTCAGCTAACATATGGTCTATTTTGGAGAACGTCCCAAGTGTAGCTGAGAAGAATGTGTATTCTGATGTTTTGGTGTGCTACACTGTGTAGACATCTACTAAATCCATTTGTTCACAGGCTTGATTTAATTCTAATAGTTCTTTGTTGATTTTTTTGTCCAGTTGATCTATCTGTTTGTGAAAGTGGAGTATTGAGGTCCCTCAACTACAACTGTGTCAGTGTTAATTTGGTTTTTCATGTCTGTTAATGTTTGTTTCATGTAGTTGGGTGAACCTGTGTTTGGTGCATGAATATTTATAAATGTTATCTCTTCTCTTTGGAGTTTTCTCTTAACAAGTATATAGTGACCTTCTTTGTGTCTTTTGAGCAGTTGTGGGTTAAAGTTTGCATTGTCTGCAAATAGAAGGATTGGAGGAGAAGGCCTATGAGTTTTGAAGTGAACCAGAAAGAGGGGAGACGATGTTTACTCACATGAAAGTATCATAAGGTTGAGCAAGATAGTTGATGAAAGAGAGGAAGAGGACAAGTACAATAAAACCAAAAGAAAGTTTGGAGATCACCATCACCAGTTGGCTTGTATTGTTAATGTTGCATGGGATATTTATATGCCTGTAGTTCTGGCTTGTCAACCATGTGCACCTTAGCTAGGGTCCTACTGTGTCACTGATATTCCTGCAGGTCTCTGGGTCCTGAGTCCCACCAGTAGAGGGAGGGAGGGGCTGACCTCAGACTTCTTTTGCCAGTTGCACTGTCCTGGGTCAATGGAGGAAGAAAGGAGCATGAACTTATACTCCTCTGTGGAATTTTTTTTTCATATACAATGGCATACTATGCTGCCATAAAGAAGGATAAATTTGAGACATTTCTAGATATGAATGGACCTTGAGACCATACTCTTAAATGAAATAAGTTGGATATACATGTAAATATTGCATTGTTTCTCTGGTGTGAGAAACCAAAAGTGTAAATAAGGACAAAAATGTATAATAGATATTGGGAAATAGGAAGAAAATGTTCAAATGGAAGGAAAACAAAGGAGGGAGGAGAGGAAAGGAAGAAAAGGAAAGGACAAAAATAGCAGAAGGAAAAATGGAAACAAAGCTTTTGTAAATAACAAGAGGAAGAGGGGTTGAAGGGAGGGGAGGGCTTGGGGGAAAGAGAAGGAAGATATATCATGTACAGGTACAAATTCCCTATGGTGAATGTAATCATTATGTATATCTAAAATGTTCCAATAAAATTAATTTTTAAAAAAAGAAAAAAAACTACTAGAGGAAACAAATGACTTAGGAAATTGTCCTCCAATAAAGGAGAAACTGCTTTGGGATAAATAATTTCTATACTAGGAAAAAAAAACAGGGACAGCAATCATCCAGCATCATTCTGACATTTGGGATAACTTTACAGATTCAACAGGGCAGATTTTTCTTTTTTTTTCTTTGACAAAAGCCACCGATTGAGTGATGAGTAGATTCCTCCAGGTTAGAAATCTTGGTTGGGCCAAATAGACCTAGAATCTCTTTTTCTTCACTCCAAGCCCAGGCTTCTCTTCCCTGGAAAGTGGGAGCCATAGCAGGCTGTGGAAGAACTCTACATCTAGGGCATGAAGTTCCATATTCCTTTAAGCTTTGTGAACAGAGGCTGGAGGCCAACTTTAGGAGGAAATAGCATTCTTGGCAAGTCACGGAAGGAACCTCGGGGAATGCCTCATGCAGATGGGACTGTCAGGCACCCATCAGTCACCTTGTAAATACAGGAGCCCAAGAACCTGGTCTTTGCTGGGGCCTGGATTTCAGGGAGATGCTTCTCTTGGAGATCATCCCAAACAGGGTGCAATTAAAGTGCCATAAATGTCTTATTCAAGTGTTGATTGTTCCAACACAAGGACAACAGTGCAGCCAGACCTCTGCTCAGGCTGTCCTACACTGAGTCAGAGAATTGGGCTGTTTGTGTATTTCCTGCCTTTTTCCTACTTGAGTTCATGAGAGTCGGGCTCTGTAGGATGGCAAGTGCTGGAAGTTCCTGCATGGACTGTAGATGTGTGTCCCCATGGGCACTTCCTCGTTTGGTGTTCTCCCAGTGTGGCAGCATTGGCAGCACCTGGGACTTGTTGGATATGCAAATTCTCACGTCCCTCCAGAGCTACTAAACTAGATGGACTCCAGCAATTTGTGCTTTAGCAAGATCTGCAGATGATTCTGAGGAATGCTGCTGTAGGAGGGGCCCAGGCAAAGTTGGAAGGGGAGAAAGCAGGGCTGCTGGCCTCTTTAGGATGCCACAAGGGCTCTAAGAAACCTGGTGAGAAGGCTGGTGAGCCATGTCTTGGTTTATCTGACGTGCTGGCTTGGAGGGCAGCTGAGGATTCATTCCATCAAACTCTGCTTCCTGGAAGGGGAAATCCCATTCAGAAGGAGGAGCCATAGATACAAAGGATGCAGGTAGGGAGACTGGAGGGGGTTCTGGGGAGGGAGTGGTTCAGCCAGCTGCCTGGACAAAGCACCAGTGCCTAACATGCAGGCTAGGCCAGAGCTGACCCAGTCTCCTGGTCAACTTTCTCTCATGCTCTTGGGTACAGATTCCAGGCTGTTTGGCTGTTGTGAGGCATTGATTCCTGCCCGGTTATTAGGTAAAGCCCTTCACAGCTGACTCACATGCACATACGTCATCAATGAATACTTTGCCTTCTGCATATATAGTTCACAATGTGCTGAGCCCATCTCCTACCGGCTACTTCTCAGGTCCCTCCAGTGGGGTGCAGTAGGACATGACGTCCCAGGCACTGAGCACTTGGTTGGGCTTTCAGGCTTTTTCTTCACAGCTGTTCTGGCAACAGGAAGATGAGTGTGGTATCAGTGAGCGTGTGATGTGGTAGGGGGTGCCTGAGTTGGGCATGTCCATTCAAAGTCAATAAGTCATTGAATGAAATCATGAATAATCCCAGTGCTGTGATTACATTCCATAACTCAGTTTTTAGTACCAGGCAGGGAAAGTTCTAGTCTACACGTCTGGTTTGCACACCGATGTTAAATAACCCATTCATCCCCTGCGTCCGTGATGTCTTGGTCATGGTGGTCTGCACATGCGAGCAGGTGTGGCCCAGTTAGGCTAGGCTGGAAGGCATCTTGGGAGCCAAGGAGAGGATGAGGTCAGACACAGGATCAAGAGGCAGGCACTGGAGGCAAGAGGGAGATTCATTTATGGAGCTGGACATGGAAGGAGTTGGCCAAAAAATCACTATGTCTATATCAGTTTGAAAAATGGTGTGGGCTTTTTGAGCCCCAGCTGTGGCACATGGAAAGGGCCATCTCTTGGTGTTAGTGGGGAACAAGGCTGTATTGGCAGCCAGCTGAAAGTCCCTCAGAGCGGAACTGGGTGAGGTAGTGCAAGACTTTGTGTCAGGGACCAGCCAAGCAGGCTCCAGGCCTAGAGAAAACACTTCCCAGGAACTAGGGTGGTGGAGCATGGGTGTCTGTTGCAACTGACATGGGGCTGGAAGGGCAAGTCCAACACCCATGCCTGGCTACACACCTCCCAGCCTGGCTGTGGACCATAAAAGGTGTTCAGGCCTGTAGGAAGCAGGTGTCAATGCCTAAGCTCAGCTCTACCACCAGCAAACATGTGGGGTGAATTCTCAGAGTTTCCAAGGAGGTCATGGATTTTCCAAGCTTTAATTATAGCCTACTCTCTGCATCTTTGACCTAGTCGCTGCCTGCTTTGTTCTGGAGTTTTGTTGGACTCCTAAACACAGCAGGTTACAGAGGAAAACATTTCTGAATCAGGCCAAATAGGTTCTGAATCCCGATTTGCTCTGTGCTTCTAGGTATATGGTGGGACTGTCTCTTGGCTCGGCTGAGCTTGTTTTCTTATGTCTAAAAGGGGCTTTGTCATGCTTGTGAGGATTAATTTGCTAAGGAGAGTGAAGGGTGAAGCATCCTGCCTCATGGGGAAAGCTGGAAATCAACATGAGTTCCCTCTAGTTTTTCTCCTTGCTCCCACCCGAGGCTGCACTTAGTACTAAGGCTGCAGCCCCTGTCTAGTTTGGAAAATGCAGATATGTTGAGGGGAACATACACAAGCACATCTCTGTCAGTTTGGTTGTAGACACTGGTTTGGAAGCAGAGTGTCCAGGTCAACTTTTTTTTCCTTGGAGAGCCAGAGGCAATTTTCTTTCTTTCCTATTAATGAGGATCTATGTCAGATATTCTATCCTAGAGATCAAGTTCAGTCCTCTGGGCACAGAGTCTGGTGTTTGGATATCCATTGCAATTACAGGAAAGGCTGGGATCTGGCCTCACTCACAACGCTGGTCATGGACAAAGAGTCCAGCTCTGGTTTCATGTCAGGGAGACCAGTGTGGGGTGTGAGCTTGGGCACTCTGGCAGGCTTTCTCCTCTGTGCCACCAGTTTGGGACAGCACCAAGGTTTATTCCCTCTGTAGAAATACGTTTCTCATATTCCTGTCACATAGCCAGGGCATGAATTTTGATTATACCACTTTAAACAGCCCTGTTTATTTCATATTCCTTTCCCCACTAGAGTTTGAGCTGTGTACATCGCTATAAGCAGAATCTGCCAGAGGAAGGGAAGGGCCCTTGACCTTCAAAATGTAATCCAGCTGCAGGGCTGCCTGGCACAGCAGAGAATTGCAGCTGTATTTAATCTTCTCAGGGCAGAGCAGCTGGAGGTCTCCCAGCATCCTGGCGCCTGTCGGGGGAGGCTTGGCTTGCCCCAACTATGCATTTGAGCTGAAAAGTGCTCAAAAGAGAGAGTCAAGGTCACAACGCTGTGGCTGCTTCTAAGTCCTGTGTGTAAGCAGTGTGTGATGTGCCTGTCATTCTGGCTTAAAGAGAAATTCCTGAGAGCCTTTGAGTCCCCAGTGGTTTTGCTACACCAACTGGTAAAATGCACATGGAGATTTTGGGAAGGGATAGAGGAAAGGAAATGGTAGGAAAAAATACAGGAGGCCTCCTTTTGTCATAGGACAGTTCTGGAGGGGGTGGGGAAGGAAGATGAAGAGGAGAGAAGGCAGAGGGGCATGAAAGGAGGGCAGCTGGAAGACAGGCAGTTGGCCACAGCCGAGCAGCTCAGCTCTGCACACAGTGTGCCCCTGCTGTATGCTAGGGGTGAACTCAGCTTTATCTCGTTCTAAAACTCACAGCCTCACTGGCTCACTGGACTCAGCTACTCAAAAGCAAGGTAAAGGTCTTTAGAAGTTGTCACCAGGAATGTCCTGTGCTCTGGGCATCTCCCTGAACACAGCCAGGGAAGTGTCTGCCGTAGAAAACTGGCTATGGCCACGGCTCCTTTTGAAGATATCAGCATAAGTCCCGTGAGGACTTGGTCTGTGTTGATGTTATTTAGGCCTCAGCTCCGTGGTACAAGGGAGATGTCTAGTAAATATCTGTTGAAAGAATAGGAATGAAGACTCAGTTGTCTGCGGGGACAAATTACACCAGAGACTGAGGGACTTCTAGCCCAATGTAGCCCATGATATCAGTGTCCTTTGAATTTTAAAGTGCATATTACTTCCCCAAGGATCTAGTTAAAATCCCACACAGGCCTCCCCTCTCCAGGTCGTTAGAAAGACTGATGGCTGCTTTACCAGTGGTAGAAAGACTGATGGCTGCTTTACCAGATTGTAGTTTGAAACATAGAAATTGAGGTTCGCTAGCTTGTTTGCAACCGGCTGAGCTCTGTGGCCCAGGAACCCAGGACTGGCCAGGCTATACCTCCTCCCTCTGTGGATCCCTAGAACACTGTGCCACAGAGAGGTGAACCGAGCACTCTCCACTGAGTATCCCTTGTGGCCAAAGCCTTCCTGAGCCCAGTAGAACCCCATGGGCATGCGAGGCCAAGGGCTGCTTTTTAGGATCTTTGAGGTACAGGGTTTTCTTTCTGTCTTGGGCATTACTTCTCATGCTTTTGGACAGATCCAACCAATCTCTGGAATCCGACCCCAGCCATACACTACCAACACTGCCATCTTCACTAGCTTTTTACTACCCCTGCTGCTCCTTCCTCTTCTGTCACAGCCTTCCTGCCACCAGTACCTCCAGTGTTACCTCCAGCACCCTGGCTTGCAGTAGCGCTTTAGTAGCTCTATTGTGCCATCATATCAACCTCAAGTGTAGGCACCATGAGTTCCACTTGAAAGAACTATAAGGACCAGAGAAGTGAAATCCTATGTCTGGGGTCTCACAGTAAGTGACAGGGTGTGACCCAAATATATGTCCTCTGACTCCAGGGAAGGTGCTATTACCTGTTGTTGTGACATCTCCAAGAAGTGCGGCTCCATTGTGCACTCTCCTCTCCTCCCTGGCTTGTACTTTGATGGGAAGGCCTGTTCCTGGCAGAGCACAGACCCCTTCTATCTGGGCACCATGCTCCGCTGAGCCAGAGAGAAAACTCAGACTTCCTTGGTTTATAGCCAAATTTTGGTGCCAAATCAGTATCCTGAAGAGTCACTTCAGTCAATTCAATGGGATGGATGGGGGTTGGCTGGGGATGTCACTGCCACTGCATAACTTAAGTTTGTAGAGTTTGTAGAATAAGCCTTTGAAAGACATTTATTTGTGTTTCTAAATAAATAAAGCCTTTGTCCTGAGTCTTTGATGTGGGCAGAAAGACGCTAAGTCATAAAGTTCTGATAATAAGTGCCTTATGTTGTTATAATGATGTACAGTTTCAAAGAGCCCATGCTACTTTATTTCATCTTAGTCCTCCCAAGCCTTTTAAGATAGCCAGGGCTGGCATTATTATTCTGACTTAATAGATGGATAGGAAACTGGGGCTCAGAGAGGTTAGGGACTTGCTCCAGGCCACAGATCTAGGTCCTGTATGTGGGTAGTCTCAGTGCTGATGTTCTTTAGACTGTCCTGGACACACTGTACTGGTCGCCTTCCTTAGACACAGGGCCACCATTCACTAGAGACTGTCTAAGCCCTGAAAGATTTATTACCAGCAATTTGCTTATTCCCACAAAAGTACAAGCCTTTAGAAATCATCTGAAAATTACCCAACAAAGCGCTCAGAGCTAAGTTGGTGTCCAAGTGAGGACAGGAGATGGTACACCCCGGGGAGGGGCGGGAATGCTTCTAGATGGGAGAGTACAGGGAAGGCACAGGTCCTGAATCCCAGCAGTAGGCAGAGGTGTGCTAGCCAGTAGGCTAAGGTCAAGTCTGGAAAGATGGGGAAAAGGCTGGTCACCTCCAGTGTCTGACTTTTAAGAACTGAGGACCGGAATTCTGGAGGAACATTTGAGAACCATATCTGGCAATAGTGTTAGGAGAAAAAAAAAGTGTGTGTGTGTAGGTCAGAGACCAAGAATGCCAACTATAGAGCCTGATGTTACTAATGGTCACACAGAGTAGAGGCTGCTTCTAGACTTCCTATCCAAGAGAGAACCGGATTTAAGTATTTAGGTTGGTCAAGTCCATGTGGGTAGGGCAGAGGTCAGTGCACCAGAGTGGGAGGAGGGCACAGAAGTTCCTGACATGAGTTTTGTAGACCTCTATGGTTTCTCAACCTGACACTCTGCTCTCTAGGATGTTTCTGAGTGTGTTAGGAAGGCTCTGTGCCTAATGACAGTGGGAAATACCGGGTCAAATAAAATGCAACGGGTGTTTTTAGCGCATGCTGTCTCGGCACTTTGAACAAGCACATATGCAGTGTAGCTTTCCAGGTGAAACCTTTTGAAAGCAGAGTTTTAAAAAAACTTTCATCTTGGCCTACAGGTTAGCATCTCATGGGAAACTCCGTCCAACTCTTCCTCAGCTGAGTCAATGGCGATACTTTTTGCTTTGTACCTGGCCCCTGACGTTTTTCCTCCTGAGCATGCTGGCAGAAGGGTAGCCACCTAAATAAACCAGCACTGTGATTTACATTTACCCTCCCCCCTGTCATCTCTGATGTGGTGTCTTCTTACCAGTCTTTTTTTCCATGCCTTGTTAAAACTTGGTTGTTATCACAGACTATACAACTTTTTTCCTCAATACTGGGGATTGAACTCAGGGCCTTTGCACTGAGCTCCACCCCCAGAACTTTTTTATTTTACTTTCTTTTGAGAGAGGCTCTCTCTAAGTTTCCCAGGCTATGCTTGAACTTGCTATCCTCATGCCTCAGCCTCCCAGAGTGCTGGGATTACAGGCATGCACCACCATATCTGACTAATACATTTTAAAGAAGTGTTGGGTGTTTTCTACACTGGGGTTGGCAGCCTTTCCAACCAATGTACAAACTATATTGAAATTAAGAATAAAGGATCAACACAGCCAGGAGGCTCTCACTATTTTCTAACTCCCAGGACATAACCCATTCACCTGTTGTCCCAAATAAGCAAAAGGTGGAGTGGAGTGGAGGCAGCCAGACTGCTGTCTCTTTGGGTCTGTTACCACCCTGTGGGTGACTGTTCCCATCTGGGTTGTACCTGGCAACAGCCCCAACTCTCTGTTTGGACTCTGCTCTCTTCCTTTTGCTCCTACTCTGACCTGTGCATCCCGACACTCCCCTGTTGGAAGGGTCCATAAGGGCCCATTGTTTTGCTATGGTCAACTCGTGCTTCACAAGTTCGGGTGCCCAGCAGAATCACCTGGAAGGCTTTTAAAAACACAGATTTCTGGGCCCCACCCTAGGAATTTCTAATTGAATAAAGGAGTAGGGTTTGGAATGGAATATTAAGAGTTTGCTGTTCTAGTAATTTCCCAGGTGTTACCAGTGATACTGGTCAGAGGACCATACCATAGTTTCCAATCTATAGAGGACCAATCTATAGTTTCCAAGCCTGAATCAGTTGGGAAGCTTGGTAAAATGGGTGGTGTGGGGAGCCACCGTGGATTGCTTCAAAGCCTGCATGCTTGAGGACTCATAAAGACATGACCCCGCTGTTTGGCACATGCATACAACCAGATACACTTATATAAGCATGACTTAGCATAAACAACCATGCATATATTACAGGGTTATGACAGTACACAAGAACGCACTGCTTGATAACGGCCAATATATACACACCAAACAGTAAAGGTGCTTGCTGTTGTTGCTGATGTTGTCTTTGCATGCTTTCTTTTCTTTGGGGACCTCACCCATGAAAACAACCCTTCAGCCCTCCGAAAGGTGGGTTCCTGGTGTTCATCTCAGACCTACCAAATCAAAAGTGTCAGGGGTCGATGTTCCATCTGCCTCTCCCTGGGCTGACCTCTGCAGGTCTCTGCCCTCTCGTGTGCCAAATAAGGGTGCTGGGATGCAGACTCCTCCTCCTCAGATGTCTGTTGCTATGGAAATCCATCACCTCCAGTTGGGCTGGGAAAGGTCAGAAGGATTTATATTTGCCATTTGGTTAGTTTTAAGAAGATCTCTATCTGGGCCAATTCTTTTTCCCTTTAGTGCAAGTAAAAAAATATCAATTTTATAACAGTTTATCACATATTGCTTTCAATGATCATCCCATGGGGTATCATTACCCCCAACTTATGCATTTTCATACTGTGGCTCAGAAAGTTTACTAGTGACTCAAAGTCCCATGCTTTTCCCATTCTTCAGTGCTTGAAGACCATGTTCCAGGTGAGTGCAGACACCTTGACTTGGAGGTTAGGCTCCTCCCCCTTTACCTGGAGCTAGGCATGCAGGCAGAGTTAATCCTGGGTATCTCTATAAGGAGCCCCTGGGCATCAGCCTATACCTGATTTCAGGTAATTTTTTAATACAGAAAAAAATCTTTTATAGTGCAACCTTAGACAAAGGAATTGAGGCTAAAAATGTTTAATGTGAGTATAATTAGGTATGCCAAACAATTAAATTGAACACATAACTTTGGCTTTTACTTGAAACATAAAACTCCATTGCATAAAAATTATTTTAAAAATAAACTGGACCAAATAAAATCATAAAAAATATGTTAGTGTATGTGCTGCTGAAACAAGCACAGAAAGAGTCTTGATTATGGATTTAACAAGTGGCAGAACTAGAATTTGAAGTCTGCCTATGAAGCCTGTGTTTTTTGACAATAGAGACTATAACAGTACCATGCCCTGGTAAGGGTGCAGGAGAAATGGAACCTCGCAGGCTGCTGAGCATGGTAAATGGTACAAGTACCTTGGAAAATAGCTTGGCAGTTTCTCCTGAAGTTCAATGTAGCATTATGATGTAGCGATCTCCTTTTTAGGCATTTACTCAATAGAAATATACATCCATGCAATGACTATATACAGTGTTGATAGCAGTTTTGTTTATAATGGTCAAATACTAGAAACTACCTAAATGTCCAACAACAGGTGGATTAAGGAAACAAATATGCAATGGAAGACTCAGCAACAAAAAAGAGCACAGTGGAAAAGTTACAACATAGATGAATGTACAAGAGGGAGGCTATGAACAGGTTCTGACTTTAACTTCCATTTTACAGACAAGAATTGAGGCCTCAGAAGGCTGAATAACCTTTCCAGGGTTAAACAACCAACCAGCAGTGGTCTGTGGGGTCTGGTCCTGAACACTGTCTAACTGATTTCCAAGCCAGGTCAAAACTGGGTTCCTCCTCTTGACCTTGGGCTGTCCTGCTGGACCTCCGCCCTTTTTTCTGACTCCTTTTTCTCTTTGGAAGGTGCCCACTTACTTTGTTCAGAGTTTTAGAATGGGCTTGTGCTCCCTCTGCACGAAATACCGTACGCTGTAAGGTGATGTCACTTGGACTTCTCTCCTTTTGCATTTTCAATCTTGTCTGATGTTCTCTTTCCAGACTCTTCATTCTCCTGCTTCCCCACCTCAAACCCTGTCTCTGCCTTCCTTCTCTTCTCTCTCTGTCTGTATCCATGCCCTAGTGGAAGATTTCTGTCCAGCTTGATTCTCACACATTTTTTTCAGTGAGGAAATTAAATTATCTATGCCTCCAAAGGTTTTGACAGATTTAGGATGGCAGGATGCCCAGTGAAATTTGAATTTCAGAGAAGCAACCAATATTGTTTTTGAAAGTATACCTATGTCCTGTGCAGTATTTGGTATATACTTATACTCAAAAATTACTTGTTGCTTCTCTGAAATACAAATTTCACTCAGTTTCCTATATTTCATCTAACAGTTCTAGCCTGCCTGCCGTGCCATCATTTTGGTAAGACAGACAGGGTTTGGCAGAAGCTCCAAGAAGACATAGTCCCTGAGAAAATCAGAGCAGCCCTTCAGGGTTCCTTCACCTGTGTGTCTTCCATCCACACTCATCTGGTTTAAGCCTCCACCCCAGTGTTTCCTTTTGGGCCCCTTGTTGTCTGGCCTTCCTCACCTTCACTCTGAGACCCTTGCCTGTTTCCTGCTACTCACTCACGGTTGCTCCTTTATTTGATCCAGCTTCTCCAGCCTTCCACATGTTGTCTCTTCAACTCCAACTACCTGTGCTATCAGTACACACCCTCCCCTTTCTGGCCAGGCTGCAGACTCATTATGCCACGGACGCATTATGCCATGGTCAAAGGCTCAGCACAAGTCATCAATGCCTTCCACTCCCACCCGGGGTTATAGCACAGACATTAACTCAGAGTTCTCTTTTCATCTGTCTCCACGTACTACATGTGAGTCCCAGCAGTAGGCCCATGTTCATTGCCAGGGTAGAATCTAGGCAGGTCTCTGATCTAGGCAGTTTTCAAGTGTACAGTGGACAAAGAAACTTAGAAATGTATCTTTAATTGGAAAATAGTACCAAAAAAAAGAGGGGGCTGTATTTAGTTTTATGTTAATACAATTATAATTGTTTTAGGCGAGTAACAAAGGAAACCTTTTTAATGTATTTTTCTTAGTGCCTATTAATTTTACAAAAATTGGATATCAATGTGGTATTTTCTTACATATGCATAATATGTTTTGATCATATCCATCCACCCTCCCCAGGAAATTTGAAGCTACCTGGTGAGATGTTTTACAATTCTTTCTTTTTTTCTGGGCACAAAACATGTGTAAACCATTTAGACTTTGGCAAGCTAAATGAGAAGCTGCCTATGAGAGTGGTTGATTGGTTTATGGCTACAGTATTTTAGAGGGGGACAAGGCATCTGAGTTTGTTTGGGGCATGGTCCCGAGGTAAAGTCCATCGATATAACACCCCTACCCTGTGAGCACAGCAGTAAAAAGCTGTCCACTCCTAGATATTACAGAAAGAAGTCACACAGAGCTATCGGGGAACAAGACAAGAGCATATGCAGGATAATTAAGCTATTCATAATAAGTAAATTCCAGGGATGGAGAGAAACTGGGGTCCTGACTGGGAGAAGGTGGAGAAAAATGCAGGAAAAGGTGCTATCTGAAGTTGGATATGGATGGCTGAAAAAGTATTTTGTTCCAGGGAACAGAGGGTATATCCTCCAGAGGTCTGTCTGTGGGGTGCTTGGGAGAGCCAGGTGGGTGACATCTTTGCCATTGTTCCCGGCTTGGGCTCCCACTGGAAGGTTTGCTGGGAAGAGGGGTCCAGTTGAGCTGGTGTCCCTGAGGTGGCTGCCCTTCCTGCCCAGTGTGGAAGTTTCTGGGGCTGTGAACTCAATTTTAATGTTCTCAAATGTGAATATATTCCTGAAGCATTTGGGAGTGAGGCAATGGCTTGATTACTGTAGGAAAATATTTAGCTTGAGGCTTTGTTGAAACACAAATTTCTGTCTGTGTGCACCCCTAGAAATTCAGATTTTGAGGATTAGGGAAAGGGCCCTGTAATCTGTCTTTTTAACAAGTTTCCAGACGATTTAATGTCAGTGGAGCTTGGACTGTACTTGAGTGTATCCTCAATCATGTGGAAGATATTTAATCACGTAGTGCCTCTGCTTAAAACAATCTTTCCCTCCTGTCTATAAGATATAATTTTTTTAAAAAAAGGATATGGTCAAACGCATCCTAGATAAAGTCTAATTCTTCAGCCTGGGTTGTGAGTTTCTTCAGTTTGCCAGACCTAAGTCCCAGTTCTTTTTTTTTGTGGCTCTAGGTTGAACCAGGATCTTTGCACTGTGCCACATTCTCAGCCCTTTTATTACTTTCTTTTGGAAATGGGTCTCTTTAAATTGCTAGGTTGCCCAGGTGAGGCTCAAACTGGTGATCCTCCTGTCTCATTGTGAGGAAGGCTAATACTAGGACCTTAATAGAAACGAGCTTCACTCTTTCTCCTGATCAGCTCTGACCAGCTCAGTGTTCCCCAAACAATTCCCTGTTTAGCACTCAACTTCATGCAAGGCGAAGGCTGCTACGATTAGTTTTCCTCCCACTGAAATGCAGCCTCTTTCAAAGCTCAGCTCCAGTATCCATAGCCTCTCCCCTGAATTTTCCAGTTTCTCCATTCCTGTCTTCTGCAGCTCCTTCTGTGAACTTGTATCACAGCGTCCACTGCTGACGTTTCTCTGTCCAGTCCAGAAGTTCTCAAATGTTTGTGGCTACTACCCAGAACAGACAGCACCCTCTCCTACCTTAGGGGACAGTTCTACAGTCATTGTCAGAGTCCAGAAACCAGCTTTAACTGAAGACTGTCCTCTCTCACTTAGAGCCCAGTGGGTTGCGCATGTAGATTAATAGATTGTAGGGATACCATATACTGTTTCCTGGGACATAATGCAATTCAATTGAGAACCAAGCCTAATCTGAAGCAGCATCCATTAGGGTGTAGGAGGAAAATACTAAATATTACTACTTATATATATATTTTTTTCATCTAAAACAAAGAATTTCACTTTCCTACTACTTTATTTGTGCCTAGATCTTAGTGATCCCACTTGTGTGTCACATACCATAATACCACATAGGCAATTCCTTCTTTTAACATGTTGCCATGAATGTCCCCCAAAGTCATAGAACTAACAAGTAACAGAACCAGAATTTGAAATCTGTCTGATGACAAGTCATTGGAAAAATTAAAGCAACAAGGAAAAATAGCAGAGCTGGCAGACATCCGACAAAAAGAACTCTTCCTAGCCACATTACAAAATGAAAACGATGATCAGCTAATCAGAGCTGACAGGAAGACACAGCATCAGACTTACCCAGAAGTCTATATTGAATGTGACTGATATATATCCCTCCTGGTACTACCTACCCCTTCCCTAGGCACAGCTGGTGTTTCAGACATAAGCTGGTGAGATGAAGCCACATACAGAGCAGCAAATTAAAATTTAAAATTTTAAAAATTAAGCATCTAGTCCATGTTGACAAACCAGCACATTTAAAACAAGCAATATTTGAAATCAGAGTTCTGAATTCAACATCTCGGAAATTTCATTTAATGATACATGTCACAAATGTTTAAAAGCTTTCTTTTTTCTCCTTTCCCCTCCCCTTTTAAATTTCTTACTAGTAGTGACAAAGTGCCATGTGTCGTAATAGGTAAATGAAACAAGGAAAGTCACACAGCAAAAAAAAAAAGAATAGGCACTTTCCCGCACATGCTGCTGCAGGTGCATGGAAACATTCTCAACTTTTACAACAAATTATGAAACATTTGGTGGCTGGCTAAAAGACAGATTAAAAAACATGTTTTAGCCAAAGTTATTTGTTGGGTTGTTTCAGTTATGAAATATACATAGAGTTGCACATGTGTGTACCATTAAATTTTAAAAATGTACTACTGAAAATGTATTCTCAGAAAATTACTTTAATAAAAACTGTGATTTCTAGGGGCTAGGGATTTAGCTCAGCGGCACAGTGCCTGCCTGGCAAGTGCAAGGTCATGAGTTCGATTTCTGGTACTGGAAAACAAACAAACAAACAAAAAACAAAACAAAAAAAAACCCTGTGATTTCTGGCTGAGGGTGTATCTCAGTGGTAGCATATGTGCTTGCTTAGCACTGCAAGGGCCTGGGTTCAGTCTCTAGTGCCAGTTACAAAACTCTGCTTTGGAAAAACCTGGAAGTATCTTAATAGTTACTGCTTTAACTAGAATAAAAAAGATTCTTGGGTAAGAATACAAATACAGAGCTGCAAATGAGATTCTTTTGCTGTGTTATTTACTGGCAAGCTAAACAGCAGTGCCAGAAGTGCCCTGTGTGTGATAGGATATCATCAGTGTGGTAGCTGTCACAAAGACTTTTAGGGAACACAGAATTCTAACAATGCTTTGTGAAGAGACACAGAGTCACCATGAAAGTATTTTGGCAAAGCACTTGTAAGAGCCATTAAGCTTGAAGATGAATTATGCATTTTTAATCATAACTTGTTTCCAACATGCTGAGCTTCTCTGTGATGACAACTGGTTGTCAGTAATGTGTTACCTAACACATTCTTTCAAAAATATAAACTTACTTGCTAAGCACAGAGAGGAAACAATTGCTTTTTGAAAGTAATTTTGAAGTGTGGGCATGAAAGTGCTTTTTAAAAATGAAAGTCAAGGCAGATATTAAGAAATTCATTGCTTTTATGTGATGCTGCAGCTGAAAATGATGAGCTCTGACAATATTCTCTTATCCGTGTACATTAAAAACCTCAGAAATAAACTTTTCAAATGTGTTTCAAAAATTTCAAAATGAAGCATATTGGTGAGGTTAGAACCCTTTGCAAAAATGCAACATCTTCCACTTATTTTGTCCACCCACTGTGCAAAAATTGACATCAGGCAGAAGAGTAATTTATGAGTGATATTTCAACAAAAAATCTTTATATATTTTCTATTTTCTTCCTGCCCTGGAGATCAAACTTAGGGTCTTGAACATGCTAGACAAATTCTCTACCACTGGTGTATAGCCCTACCCCAAAATCTTCTGATAGCTGAGAATCATGATTTCATCAATATAACCAACAAGGCGCATCTTCTAGCTGGAGGTACCCATCTTTGTAAGGAAACTTTTCAGCCATGATAAGTTTTGAAATCAAGCTTAAGAATAAAAGTAATGCTTTTTTAAATGGAAAAAATAAAACAAAATTTCATAACAAAATCACCAACAGAGTGAAAAGACAACCCACAGAGTGGGAAAAAATTTTAGTCAGTTGCCCCTCAAAGAACTTATATCTAGAACATATAAAGAGTTGAAAAAAATCAGACCCCCCTCCCCAAATTCAAAGACCTAGTCCAAAAATGGGCATCTGACATGAGTACACACGTCTCAGATGAACAAATACAAATGGCAAATACATACATGAAAAAATGTTCAACACCACTGGTCATTTGAGAGATGCGAATTAAAACAACACTGAGATTACATCTCACCCCAGTAATGCTGTTTTAAATCAAGGTTTTAGACATAGTGAAACACACTCATCAAAATGCTTTCTCCCCTAAATAGTATCATTTTAGCAAGAGCAAAATGCTTATTTCATCTGTATCTTCTTCAAAAATTTTGATTTGTGATTGTTTCATGATTTATATTATAAAAATGCATAAATATAAAATTTAGAAATAATCTCTATTAGGGTGCACGTATTAACAGTTTCTGCTGA